AGATTCCCCATTGATTCAAGGGAAATTGCAAGAATGTGATGAACTATTAACCATACGAAGTAAATATGCATTTGGAGTGTTAAAATTGGGGTACTTGAGTCATTGCATTTCAGGACAGGTGGGATATCTTGATTCCACCAAGAGGGAAATGGAGTTTACATGCAAAAGTAGTAGTCAAGTTCTAAGGAATATGAGACATCAGGTGGCAGTAACACAAGTATCACCTCCAGTGATACAAGGACTGTTGGAGGTACCTACTGATTCTAGCAAGATAGGAGCTGAAAATAGTTGGACAACCCCCACCCATGGGAAGGAGATAAGGGCAGTAGCTGTGGTGTTTGTTGGGGAGTGGTAAACTCATGTTATGAAACTAACTCAATCTTATACCGCTGTGGAAGTCGCTCAAGGATACTTTGCAATTCATGGGGTGGACGGGCTAATGTTTCTTTCTTATCACCCCCAACTGATGATACTTACTGGAGTGATCAGAATAGGAGGCAACACCTAGCCATCACCACCCAACAGAGATCTGACAAGGTGTTGGCTTTGGAAGAATAGATATGGCCTGAGCTGCAGTCTTACTGGCAGACCAATGTGCCACAAAGTACTATTAAGAAGTGTACTGAGCTAGTGGCAGTGGTATATGTTGAAGTTTGGAAAGACATCTTTTGATTCCAGCAAGATGGAAACTGTGAAGGAATGGCCAACCCTCATCAATGAAGAGTTATTGGCATTGTCAATGGCTGAGCAGAGGTGGGAACAATACTTAATCCCTCAACCATTTATCATCAAAACTGACCAAATGAGCTCCATACGGTTAATAGAACGTAAAGTGACAATGCATTGCCTACACTTTTGGTTAGCTAAGCTAATGAGCTATACTTATGGGGTTCACTACAAACAAGGAAAGGAAGAGGGGCAAGGTCAATTAAGGAGAAGCTCTTCTCTGTTGGATGATAATCAAAGGAAGTCGGTCTCTTGGCCCTAAGCTGCAGGAGTACAGTCAGAAGCTTCAGCTATTACATGCTAAGGTTTGGATTTGCAGAGAGGTCTTTAGGGGCTTCATAAGGGGGCTACAAAAATATCAGGTGATTCCAATAACCATCATTTACTGGGAGCTATTGGGAAGAAATCACAAACAGTTGCTGGTTAAAAGAATTTGGGATCCAGGTATCTTAGCCCTTCCTAAGCCCTTTCTAAAGAGGGTACACTGGAAATGACCAGCACAAACTAAATGGGTCAAAAAGTGTTTGGAAACCTACCTCAAATGCATATGCTCCCACAATCCAAAGCCTTACTTGTCTGGAGAGAGAGACTACTGTGGAGGTAGTCATTAGGCCCTTACAGCATAGAGAGGCTATAGTTATGTTTAAACGGTTGAAGTGGCAGTTACAAAGGGCACAAAACCAAATGCAGCAGCTAGCCAGTCAACTTAGGTCTTAGGTCCAATAAAAGCGGGTGGGCTGTCTTTTGACCCTCTCCAGGTCATTTCTAAAGAGGGAAAGGTGGCCTACATGCTTCATCATCTACTCCAAATTAAGATTTACTCTCAACCTAAAGCTAGTAAGAGGAATCCCGAAAAGAGCAAACAAAGAAGGGGTGTAGTTCTAGTGAATTGGTTAGAAATCCAGATGAAGAAACAACATGAGAGTGGTCTATTCATTTCAGGAAGAAAGTTCCAAAGTTTAGCTTTAAGGACAAAGCTGTGGCCAAGGGGAAAGGAATGATGCAGACCTAACTATTTTACTCTATATTTGTATTTTCCCTTTAGTGCTTGTAAGTGGGTGATGAGGTGGATTCCTATATAATACCTACCCATGTAGCTTTGTTGAGACAATTAATGAGAATATGAGATATTTTCTACATTCCTCACTTCTCTCTTCTCTCGATAGACTCTCTCTCTCCCCCATTTCCGTTACAGGGCCTCGATGCTCTCTTCTTCTTCTTGAAGAGCTTCCACGCCCGTAACACGACATGACCTTTGAAAGGTCTCTTTGGAGATGGTGTATTAGGGTTGTTAAGACTTGTAGATGCTGTGATTATTTACTTGCCACTCTATGGGTCACTATTTGTTGGGCATCCTCTCAGAAACAGCTTATCCATTTCTTTGGAGTACAGGTAAGGTTTGCATACACCTTGCCTTGCCCAAACCCCATTCTTGAGTGGATATACTGATTTTGTTTGGTGTAGTTATTAACATATAATCATGACAGGGCATAGAGCTGCTATTGAGTGTACTCGATGGAGGGGTTAGATTCGACATACCCAATGAACAAAAGGATAGAGAAGTGTGCCCATTCACGAATCAACATTCGAAGCCAGTAGGAATCCACCGAATTCTCTATGTTTATGAATATCTGGAAAGTTTTTAAAAAAAAACCCTTACTGTAAAAAGACATAAAACTCCCCTTTCTACTGCCACACTTAGATAGAAATGCATTTTCATCAATACCGCGAGTTCTGCAACAGCCACAATGTGCATCACCCCTTGAAATTTCCTGCAACATCAGAAATGAAACAAAATCTCCACCTCAACAGCAACATGGCTTTCTTGTACTGTATAATATTAGAGAATGCTACTGTATATAAACCAAAAAGAAGGCAGCACACTTGAGCATGGTATACTTCATGTAGATTGCATCATGCATATGGGGGACATCCTCATTTTCAATAAAAGCCAATTGTTCTCTCAAAAGTAACAAGTTCTGAGATATATGATTGAATATCACATAGAACAATATGGAATAGTCGAGGGTCAGGAACACCTGTATGCGCGACAAAGTTATGATGCATCAACTTGTAGAAATGTACAAGAAAAGAAAACTTGCCCCACTCTGTTTTTTAAATATTACTTTTAAGTCCTTTTGGTAGCATTAAATGGGTTATATACTCTATTATTAGCAGAATAAGTACCATCTGGCTACTTTGTTCAGCCGAATACCCCTTACCAAACAGGCCCTTGTTATAATTAGAATTAGCATCAAAGCAGTAAAGAGAACAAACTCACTGAGAAATAGGGTATGGAAGCTCTGTGACCAATAAGAGTTAAGTAGAAGACACAGCCGAGAGCAGCAGTAGTCCGGCGCTCATACAGGGAAAGACTCTCACATGTGATACAATATCCGTAGGAGATAATTAAGAACACAACAAAAGTAACCGTCTGAGAAAGGACTCCGGTCATATACACTCCAAAAGACATCCATAACGAGCATACATGCGCGTAATAGCATGAAGACCTGAAAAACAGCATCCATTACAACCAAAGAAGTCCTACCATTAATGCAAAATCGTGGTGCTATATATAAAGGGTAGTAGGCATACCAGAAGAGGAAGCATAGCATAAGTTGTAAAGCTTTGATCAGTGGAATGGAAGCTAATGTCCACTGCAATTTATTCATCTGCCATTGTACAGTACAGATAGACAGACCCAAATAGAAATTGAGAAAATTAAGGCTCACCATTTCACCCTAAAAAAGTAGAAACTTACTGGGCAAACAAACAATTTTGTAGGGGTAGATTGGGGCATCGGGCTGAGCTGTTTTGGGGACAAAAGAAGCCCTAATTTTGAATTTTCAGCTTTTCAAGGGAAAAAAACAATATTTTTGCTTTCCACATAAACTTATATGCAAACAATCTTTCACATCTTACTCACCAAATTTCTAAACAATCGTAAAAAAAAATCTCTAATCATCCACCATAACCAAGTGAACATGGAATTGGAACAAAACAATACTGCATTAAAATTAAGTTGAAATTATGACTATCCTTCCCATAAAGCATAATTTAATTTTATTAATCAAAATGAAGTCCACTCCATAATAAATAGGCTTGGATATTCCAATTAATGCAGTATTTGATGCCTAAGCTCCACATTCAAACCTATATACATTAATGAATTGGTGTGCTAGAAACTGTGATCAGAATGTGCAAAACGCAGCAGCTTTCCAATTTCAGCATCAAATGCTAATTAATCAGTAAATAAACGAAAATACAAAAATAAAACATTGAAATGAATAAATCCTCTTGATTAGGGAACCTGAAAATGGCGGGTTCTGAAAGTGTTGAAGGTCCACGAACAGAAGGAAAGTGACCAAATCAGCATCAGAGAGAAGTAGAGAAGCGGCAGCCTTTTATACGCTTCGTCTACGCCAATGCGATCCCACCCATTCGACTCTGAAAATGCCGTAGCAAGCGCCTCCCCCATTTTCACCAGCGGAGAATAGCCGCAGTTCGGGTTCTTCTTCGCAGAACTGGCGGAGTCCACTACGCCACCCGCTTTAGAGTTTTATACGGAGCCACGTACTCAATTTTTCTCTTTCTTTTTTTTGAGTAATTACATCTGTGATCCATCAGTGCAGGTATAGATTTATCAAAAATCCTTTAATATAATATTTGAGACTCCCTTTGCTAGAAAATCGCTATGTGGCTATATTAAGATGAGATGGAAGGTCTTTATTGGTTGCTTATGTGACAAATTTTATTAATGGTAAATTGACCTTCCTTTTTTATTTTAAATTAAAATTTTAATAATGATAAACTTATATTTAAAATTATTCTTATAAATATAGATGGAATATGTTCAAAATAGTCTCAAATTTTAGCAAAATTTACGTAAAAAAGTTTAAGACAAATAAATAATTCTTTATTCCGTGACATCAGTTGAGTATTTATGTTTTTTATTAATAGAAAGAAATTTATTTATTTGTTATAGTATGATAAAATTAATTATGTTATAGAATAAAATTTGTGAAAGATAAATATAGTATTGTTCGGGATAAAATTATTAAAGGAAAAAAATTAAATAAAATATAATTATGATATGACAAAAATTATTATGTTGTAGCAAAAAGTAAGTGATAAATAAAATTGGTATAATCACTAACCATTTTTAGACTAACACTTTTTTTGAACCAATTTTTTAACTAAGTGCATACTGAAAAACAAAATTTTGATAATGATCTATTTTCGTTTAAGAGTATTGATATAGGAAAAGATCAAATATATGTTTATAATTGATCCTTTATATATAAAATTGAGATTTAATCTCTAAGAAGCTAACATGTGGTGTTGCTTGCAAGATATTTTTGACACGTAAATTATAATATGGAAAGTAACTAATTAATATTATGGTATGAAATCATTCAGTATAATTAGTTGTTGAAGAGATTAGGGATATTCGATTTTATAGTAAACTATTTCCTAATTAATAAGATACTTCGTTCTTCACTTCTAAATAAATTTTATATTTTCTATTATTGATGTAAATTGAAGCAGTTAGTTTTGATTTTATTTATTTAAATATTGATATAAATTAATAAACATAAAAATATTTCAAAACTACAATAAAACTTTATAAAACATGAGATGATTAGACTATAAATTGTTAAAACAGGTAAAATATTCTAGATTTTATTGAAAAAATTACTGTTGGTTACCCTAGATTTTGTGATAAGAATTGTCAGGTCCCATTACTTTTTAAAATGTACTCCAGGGTACCTTAAAATAACAAAAACATTACTCCGGGGTGACATTCCGTCACTTCCTCGGTTAAACTCCATTATCAACTTCTTCTTCTTCTTCTTCTTCTTCTTCTTCTTCTTCTTCTTCTTCTTCTTCTTCTTCTTCTTCTTCTTCTTCTTCTTCTTCTTCTTCTTCTTCTTCCTCCTCCTCCACCTTCGGAACTTCTTCTTCCCATCCTCCCATTTTTTCTTCTTCTCTTTTTCTTTTTGAACTCTTTTTTCTTCTTACCAATTATTTTTATTTTTATTATTATTTGTTACTAATTATTATTATTATTATTATAAAAAATTTAATTAGTAGTTTTACCATTATTATTCTTTTTTACATCATATTTATTATTATTTAATTCTTATTCTATTATTATTATTATTATTATTATTATTATTAATTACTCCGTATTATTTTTATTAATAATTATTACTATTTTTATTAAAAATCAATTATTCGTTTTACTATTCTTTTTTAAGAAAAATAACAGTAATAATGACTATTTACTTCTTATAATTTTATTTTCTTCAAATGTTTTTATTTTGTATGCCCCCATTGACCATTTCCAATTTCTAATTTTTCACTTGCGTAAAAGTAGGTTAAAATATTTTTAAGCTTTAATTAAAAATTAATTTTAGTATGATATATTTATGTATAGTTTATAAAATTAAGATTAATTATTCACTTGGTTATAAATTATATGTCACATTTCATAATGACGGCTATCGGTGACTAATGCGTGACTAATGCGAAAAACAACATCGATTGATAAAAAATTAGAATAGTGAAAGTACTAATAATTTTTTTAATAATGATGATATTAAGTTTTATTTTAAATAATAAGTTTTGTTTTTATAAATAATAATAACTGTTATTTTTCTTAAAAAAAGAGTGATAAAACTACTCATTAATTTTTAATAATAATTATATATTAAAACAATAGCAGAAAAGTAAAATAATAAGAAGTAAATAATAATTAATACAAAATAATAATAAGTACTATTATTTTTATAAAAAAGTATAGTAGTAAAATTACTAAATAATTGCTTTTAATAAATGATACTATTAATAATTATAAGTGTTTTCTATAATAAGTTATATTTTTCTAAATAACAATTACTCTTATTTTTCTTAAAAAATAGTAGTAAAACTAATAATTAGTTTTAATAATATTATTAACAATTATAAATAAAAATAATATGGAGTAATTAATAATTATAATAATAATAATAGAATAAGAACAAAATAATAATAAATATGAAGTTAAAATAATAAGTGCTACTCCACTATTTTTCTTAAAAATTAGAGTGGTAAAAATACTAATTAATTTTAATAATAATAATAATAATAATTAATAACAAATAATAATAATAGAA